AATGGGCAAGGTTTTATGGATTTTAGATACCTACCATAAGTTTTTTGGAACAATTATAACAACTATATATTGTAGAAGTGAGTGTTTAGCCATTTAAATAATGAAAAATCTACACGCACAGGCAGCATAAATTGGAATAATATATAAAATAAGAAATAGGAATATAAGATATCAAGTAATGTGGTGTCAATTGATGATAACTAAGAGGACGACTATTTAGGTCTTGACATGTGTTTTTTTTTTTTTTTTGATAACCTTAGATGTTCGGGTCAGCTTGCGAGCATCTCGATTAATTCCACGAGGTCTTGAAGTTTTACAGCCGGATGTTCGCTTAAGTGGCCTGAGGGGACTCGAACTGGTGACATTGGGGAGCAAACCCAATGTATGACCAATTGAACAATTTCTTAAGGTTCAACATGTGTTTTTTGAGTGTATGTAAACCAAAATTAACTTTTTATGTGGTTGCGAGAGTTGATTTCATTGGACATGTCACAGAGAGCTTTTGATTGATTTGTTTTTTATGAAGCAGCATCATAGCCTTTGTGTGCTTTTAGGCTCCACAAAGACACGATGAAGTGGTTAGGATCATTTACCGTGATATAAATGAAAAGATATGAACGCAACGGAGGGAGGCATATATCTAACATCCAGTTAAAGAATAAAAACTAAAAGCAGTAAATGAAGAGGTGCTACTTCATGTACAAATGTGGAAAAAACAAAAAAGGCTAGAGGCATCTAAATGTGGGAAGTCCATGTCCGCCAATCTGTACTAGGGAGTCGTCGGGGCAAGTCAAGAGGTTTCCCTCACGATAAATATGAGAAATAATATCATGATCGCAGGAGATTAGGTATCTTAAGCATTGATGGTCCACGAGCCTTCTCCACATGTGATGCAATGAATCGAAGCAAAAGAATCTGCCTCTATTCAAAAACCCAAAAGATAGGAGTGATAACCAGGTCAAGCCATTGGTTGGCTTACGAGCTTGTCTCATCTCGAGCTCAGCCTATAGGCCACTCGAGGTTCTATTGAGACGAGCCATGGACCGAGTCGAACTTATTTTGAGCGAGTCAACTTTTTTTTTAGCTCACTTATGACTTATTTTAGTAATCTATATACAAAATACAAGCCGTTTCAAGATCAACTTGTGTCCACAAAGCCCGAGCCGAGCCGAGCCTTAGCTAGTCCTTAGGTTCGAGCCTTAGTTTGACCCATTGCCATCCCCCCGAGAGATGAAGTTAGTGTGCAAGAAGGATCCCCTCAAGAATGAACCACAACTCAGCAGGATCCTATCAAAGATGGCCTACAACTAAGCATTAAGTATAGGACAAAACCATGGGATGAAAATAATGATGAATTTGTCCAGAATGATCCGGTTGATACCCCCACCACTTGCAAAATCATCTTTGTCACACCTATTGTTGTTGATCTTGTACGATCCCAATAGTGAAACGTGCTATGAAACTAGGATAGGAGGTAGGTATGGGTGAGATCTATACCAAATAAAGGGGTAATCCAAGTCCCCTTGCCAATGCACAAACCAAAGTAAACGGTTTATGTGAAGAAAGAAGATAATCCAATAGCTTGCCATATGATCCTCCTAGGCTCTATAGCTATACCCAGGTGCTCTCATCTTTCCTTGCAGTCTATAAGAATCAAAGGATGAGCAAAGGAATGATGGTGTAAATATGACCCCTCCTAATAAAATGGCTTTAGAATCGCCAGATCTAAAAGCGATATTGAAAGTCCTAACCTTGAGAAAGCACGACCTGTAATATGTTAGAGAGATGGTGCCAAAGCTGGTTTAAAATTTTGCTGCGAAATAGTCTCTATCGTCGCACAACACTGACATTGGGATGCCAGATGACACCCAATTAGCCAACGAATCATGCAAGGATTCATTCAATTGATCTCAAATTTAATGAGAATAAAGCTTATATATGCTCCTGTTTAGCCCTCTTTTTCTAAAATTTATTTTTCCTCAAATTCATTTTTAATCTCATATTTTATGGGAGTCACAACTTTCATAAATTTTTCAACCACAAATTTTTTCAACTTTGATCAAAACTAAAAATCCGACTTTTATCTAAATCAAATAAGGGCTACATTTTTGTTAATCTTAATTCGATCTACATCCATGCACTCACTCACTCAGGCACGCACGCACATCCGTTTATTGAAAACACAGTATCCAAAAGGAAATCATTGATCGAAAATGATTAGGGTCCGTTTGATTGCGAAGGTGGAAAATGGGTGGAGAGAAAATGAATTCCAGGGAATTGAATTGTCTAGAAATTGTTTTACTGGGAATTGTAATTAATTGTGTTTGATTGGTATAATTTTCCACCTGAAAAATGTTGGAAGTTTAGTATCCGTTCGGCTTATTTTTAATGGAAATTGTCCATTAAAATGATATTTTTTCTACCATTGGGTCTATAATTTGTTCCAATTGTCCAAAAAAATTACTATACGGAATACCATTCCTTTGGCTTCGTTTTGCATGGAAATTGTCAATAAAAGTGATAAATTTTTTTACTATCGTGTCTAGAATTTTTTCCAATTGCAAAAAAAATAAAAAAATAAAAATAAAATTAATTTTTTATTTTAAAAATAAAGCAATTCGATTTTGCCAAGAAAATGGATTCCCACCACTTCGGCAAGAAAGTCAATTCCTTAAAAACATGGAAAATAGGATGATGTGACACAAGCAAGGAAAGACAATTCCATGGCAAATTTT